GTATACCATTTAATATATTTCAATAAATACAATTTTCGCTATAATTATCCTACTCTTTCCTCAATCAAACCTCCTTCACTATATGCTCATTTACAGGGTATACCATGTTGGCGCTTCAGTTAAACGTTAAACGGAATGCCTGAATGTTCCATTCTCCTCCATTTCTTTGGGAGGGCAACAGCAAAAACTCTCCGGAATTGTTGAATTGTTGCATGGCTGAATCTGATTTCTGTTTCAGTTGCTTTTGCCCTGCAGCCAATCAAAATGCCTTGCATGAAGGCTAACAACATGAATATGCTCTCTGTGTTTGTGTATCTGTGGGTGTGCATACAACTATGAGTGCTGCATATACGTATGTGTATGTGTGTGTGAGTGTGTGCTAACTGAAGTCCATTTGCAGTTTTGTGAAATACATTTTTAATGAGCGCACATCAACAGAACAGGATTTTAGGATTAGCTCTTTGCCAAAATGCAGGATAACCCAAATTGCATTTGCAAAAATGTTGGCCATGCAAATGTTACTCCAAACGAGCTATACAATTATCGATTTCTGTGAAAATAAATCGGACAAGTGTTGTAGATCGATATGGATGTGGATGCTGTTCTATAGATAAATAATATAAATTTGTTATTGGTATCGTATGTTATCGATAGCTTCTGTAAATAGAATGAGCACATCTAGTAACATTCCGATAAAACAATTCAAAAATCATATCGCAACGATATCCAAGCACTTTGAATATAAACAAACTAGTTATCGATAAATCATTTCAATAGTATCATCAATCGCTTTTATAGAGTATTTTCCCAACTTTCCATAGTGTAGTAGTTAACCTTTATTGCATCGATTGATAATGGATCTATAGATGGAATCGATAAATCAATATATATGAATGCTATTCTATAGGAGAGCGCACAGTTCTGATGCATGTTATCGATAACTTATACAAATATAATGAGCACACCTAGTAACATTTCGCTAAATCAATTCATATCGCTCACTTCGAATTTAACCATACTATTTATCGATAAACCATTTAAAGGTATTGATACCTTTAATAGAACATTTTCCCAACTGACCATAGTGTAGTATCGATTGATAATGGATCTATAGATGGAATCGATAAATCAATATATATGCATGCTCTTCTATAGAAGAGCACACAGTTCTGATGCATGTTATCGATAACTTATACAAATATAATCAGCACACCTAGTAACATTTCGCTAAATCAATTCACAAATCATATTGCAACGATATCCAAGCACTTTGAATTTAAGCATACAAATTATCGATAAATCACTTAAATAGTGCTATCAATAGCTTTAATAGAGCATTTTCCCAACTGACCATTAACTGAATTTCCCCAGCTGCGGCTGCTACGGCTGCTCCGGCTGCTGCTGCATTCGCCGCTCTGTGTGTAATTTTGTGTTTTATTATTAAATTCTTTGGTGGTTCGTTTTCATTGGCATTACGCGTGCAATTTTCGCACGTGGAATTTCGCAATATAATGTCGACCAGCAGGTGAGCTGCGGTCGGTGGGCGAGCGAGCGGTGGGCAGGGGCGGGGCGACGTGGTGGCTGCTGTTGATTAAATTCCGCTGATTGGCGTTCCATGTTGTCATGTTGTTTTGGCCCGTGATTTTTCCGGTTGACCTCTACAACTTCGAATGCTTCGAAGCTGCTCGACTGACTGCTCCGACTGCTCCGACGGCTCCGACGGCGCTTCGCTGACTTTGCCAATTTTCAGGGCCCATCATTTTTGATGGGCATTTTAATAATGCAATTGCTCTCACAATTTAACGACTCGCTGCTGTCGCTGCCGCTGCTGCTGCTTCTGCTGCCACGCCCAGCGTCAGCGCCCACACATTTCATAATGTAAATAAATTAAGCTGTTGAAAAATTCGGCTCGTCTGAGGGACAGGCACTTAGTGGAAAAGCTTTTCTGTTTTCCTAGTTTTCTTTATGAGAGAAACAAAGTTATAGCGGAAATTACTTATCTGGGATTATATGTATAATATACATGTATACATATATGTACATTGTATATATACGAGGGTGGCTTCAAAAAATTAATTATGTTTTAAAAATATTTAATATATTTATTAAATAAAATAATTCCTTAAATCATATACTTCTCTCATTACATATTCCATTTTCCCTCTTCTTTTTCATGTTCTCTAGTCTATATATGATAGATTTGCATAAAAATCCGCTCTTCTATTTGTTTGGCCAGTTCTTCGAACCACCCTCGTTTTATATACTTTTGCTTTTCCAAATTTTGTTTTTTAAATTTGTTTAAAAATAAATTTTGAGTTGAAAAATTCATTTTTGTTTTTCTTTGGAAATGTGACGCGATTTAATGAGAGCAAATATAAATATACATATATGTATATATATAAATGTATATTGAGTATATATGAATATATATCTATCTTTATGCTCATCTTTATAATTAGTTTTTCTTGTATTTATATATCTATGTTATGGTTATTTATTGCCTGTGATTTATAGCCTATAGAGAGTTGAAACCAAACACATACATAAGTGAGCAATAATCACGTGTAGATACACACACACACAGACTGCTGTGACATCCACCCATACACACACACACACGCCTTTATCGCCGAAGCGCCATCGATTTATACTTATTGATTGTTAATGAAATTGTAATTATTTGTATATATTTCGATTGTTTACTGTAGTTGCTGTGGGCGATAAGCACCGTACTCTTGCATTTGGGGCAAGTTTTATTAGGGGGCGTGGCAGCGCAGCTGAAACCAAAGTATTGCAGTTTGTTTTAAGCAGTGCTTAGACAAAATTGTCGCCTTAGGCAAACATATTAAAGGCGGGCTCTAATTAGCTATTTACCAAGGGGAATGGGAATAACAAGTGGGAAACACGCTAAAAATAACAGAGGCAATTGGTGAGAAAACACGACATGAAAAGGACAGAGCTCCTTATCAGATATAGCGGTGGATTTGAAGCTTGATTGGGGTCTAAAATAACACATATTTGGAAATACTTAAGCTCTGTAAAATATAGCAATACATAGAAGTCAGTTTAAGTATGGCATGTATATATGGAGTGCTTATAATATATCGAAAATTCAATGGTATATGTATGTAGTCGATTCAGTCTTCAATAGATTGTATAGAAACTAGGGATCATCTGCTTTCCATTTACGATTGGTACATATCTTTCAATATGTATATTAATATGGACTAGTCATAATTCAAATATCAAATATAACATAAAATTCATATAACTGACCTCTCGGCTATACCCTGCATTCCATTAACTGTATGTCTATGCCGTATATATGCTAGGCTCTATATTTGATATATGCTTTGTTCTCTATATTCTCAGTTCCGTTTTCTAAAGTCCTCGTACATTCAAGAATTATCGAGAAGCTCATATTAACAACTGCAAAGTGCACAATGAACTTGGCAAATGAAAAGCAATTTGTCACATCTGAAATAGACTCATAAAAAAAAGCAACATAAAATTTTGGCAACAGAAAACGTATAAAAGTTTGAATATGGAATATTTTAATGAGACTTGTTCATGGAATTTTAAATAAGGTTTTAAGCAACTCATATATACACTACAAACTCAGAAATGTGTGAAACGAATGTGATCCTAAGTCTCAGCTTAAGGAAGTGAACTAAAGAACCGTATATTATTATGATATTACATAAAATCTTGCTGCATATCTAATTATCTGCTGTCGCTTCTTGTCATTTGAGAGTAATAGTAAAACCGTAAACCTTGCCCATAAGCCTAATCTATATATGCCACAAACCACGTCAGATGCGCGAGTAATCAAAGCTGTCTATATTCTTATCTTTATGCCAAAATAATTGGTGCTGGTAGTTAGGTTGATTTTAGTGAGTACAATTGATGCGAGGGCAGGCCAAAGAGTTGCCGAATATCGCACAATGATAATTTTTGAACCTGCATTTAGTTAGTTCTACAACAAGTTAACCAACCCAGCTAGAAAACTGCATTTGTATTAGTAGTAAACTGTAGCCGTGCAATTGCTAAATACATTATTTTGGTCATTTCGTTGTTGCTGTTGTAATTGTTGTTGTTGTTATTGTTGCTCTTGTTGTTGTCACTTTGTGTTCATCGTCTGCTGCTGCTGCTGCTGCTGTTAAATTTAAACTCTCTGCGCTATTTGCTTGCTGTTGAAGGTGAATTTATGGCGCACACATGTGTCGCTCGATTGTCTCCGAGCTACCTCAGCAGAGTGTCTGCGTCTCTCGCTCTAGCTTACCTCTCTCTCTGTCTTTCTCCGTCTCTCTCTCTCTCGTTCTCACTTGTGACATATGTCGTCGCTGTGTGCCAAAAATAGATGCATTTCGAAATGTAGGGGGCAATATTTTTTTTTGTTCTGCTTTACAGACGACGACGAAGATCAACAGCAGCAGCAGCAGCAGCCGCAGCAGCAGCAGCTAAGAGGCTGTCTCTAGGTCTGCTTCTAGCAGCGCGCTCTTTCACACAAGCAAAACTAATTCTCTTTCTCTCTCTCTCTCCCACTCTCTTTCTCTCTTATAGAACTAGCATTTCAAAAAAGAACGCACACATACGGAAAGGCCAAAGCAAAAAGAAAAGGAAACTGGAAGGCAGCGTGAATTGGATGTGACGTGACACGGTCGATAAATATATATACAAATATATACATATAATATACATATATATATATCGATACATTCATGCGTGTTAGACTAGAAAAGCGAAGCAGCAGCAGCAGCAGCAGACGACGCACAAGTAGAGCCTAAACTCTACAATAAGGAAATAGCAGAAACAGAAAGCAACTATTTGCTCTCTCTACACA